GAGCTAGAGGAGAAGTAATGCGCTCAAATCAGTTGTCTGTTGTTGTTTTTTTAAGCAAAACATTCACTAGAGAAAATAAAGCTTTCACATGGGAATTTTTAAGATATCACAAGACCTTCACTTCTTTGCAATGAAAATACTACCAAATAAATATCATCTCCTGAAACAGAACATAATTCTTTGGGCAAAGAAAGAGAAAAAACACTGAAGAAAATAAGCTATCTGTGGATCCATATTATTGGGGTAGCTTTTAGTCGCCACCATGAATATTCTTTTTTTTTTTTTAAGTTTTGTTTAAAATATTACAGATGTCCCCTTTTCTCCCCATTGACCCATTCCACTCTGCCCCAGCCCCCTCCCCAGTTCCTCTCCAAACCACTGTCCGTGACCTTGAGTTATGAATATACGCATATAAGTTCTTTGGTTAATTTCTCCCCCTCCACCCCCCACCCCCTCTATCCCTCTGAGATCCGTAAGTCTGATCCATGCTTCCATGTCATTGAATCATTTCTGTTCATCAGTTTATTAAGTTCTTTAGATTCCACATATAAGTGAGATTGTGTGATGTTTGTCTTTCTCTGCCTGGCTTATTTCACTTAGCATAATATTCTCCAGGTCCCTCCATACTGTCCCAAACGGTATGGACTACATCAAACTAAAAAGCTTCTGCACAGCAAAAGAAATCAGCCTCAAAATACAAAGGAACCCCACGGTCTGGGAGAACATATTTGCCAAGGATGTATCTGATAAGGGGCTAATTTCCAAAGTGTACAAAGAACTCATACTACTAGCAAGAGGAAGACAAACAACCCAATTAAGAAATGGGCAAAGGACCTGAATAGACACTTCTCCAAAGAGGACATACGGATGGCCAAGAGACATATGGGAAAATGCTCAATGTCACCAATCATCAGAGAGACGCAAATTAAAACTACAATGAGGTATCACTTCACACCTGTCAGGATGGCTGCCATCAACAAATCAACAAACAACTTGTGCAGGTGAGGGTGTGGAGAAAGGGGAACCCTAGTACACTGCTGGTGGGAATGCAGACTGGGGCAGCCACTATGGAAAACAGTATGGAGATTCCTCAAAAAATT